TTGACGTAACCAAATGTTTGTGGAAACAGGGTTCTGAAATACTGACGCGACTAATGATTTGAAACTAAAACATAAAATATTCATCTCTAAATCTAATTTTTGAACATCTGTACAGTCCTTTGTAGGATTCCTACAAACTTAGACCTTCGTTAGGCCTCCGCTGCAATGTTCCCATATTTATCACAATATCTCGTTATCTCTATAGGTATCATTTGAAAGGTTTTAAATGCTCGACTGATAATTACATTTTTAGTGCCTCTGTGACCGAATGGCACGCAGACTGCCACGCAGAGATCCCGAGTTCGATTCCCGGGCCGGGAGAAATATTTGTAGCCTACATTTATTTATCTCGTGAGTTTGGAAGTAATCTGTACAATCGATGTCATTTATGCCATTTTGCTCCACGAAACACACCACCACCATACACTTGCTGTTTTTTTATTAACAAAATAAGCGCGCATTTGACGATGGAGCATGCACACCTAAATAATGCCTATTTACTCTCGTCTTGAAAAGGCCCAAGTTATACTGTCCAGAGAACAAGTCTGCAGGCAGGGAATTCCACTCCATAGCCGTTCGCCATATAAGCGCTGCACCGTGTATCCAAATATCATATGTCAAACATGTTAGTTTTCGAGAAATCATTGTTTATGATTTTCTTTAAGAACCTTGATATTTTATCAGTACACATTCGTCGCCCCCGACAAACGAACGAACAGTCCCGTATCTTTCTACATAAGTTTTGTTTATAGTGACCCTTCCTATCAACCTCTTGGTTATACGGGTAGGGCACTATAACTTGTGCAAGCAAGCTCGCACAGGGACCTCCTCAGTCAGGTCCTGACCCCAGACCAGCCCGTTTGCACCAACTTCATCCGGTTCTCAAAAGGCTATTGCCTTGCGTGAGGTGCCCCGGGGGCGCGTACAGCACCCTCCATATTTTCCAGATAGGTACTGGAGCTGTAGGCACACTCACGGTTGCGCAATGTGATTTGGTGGCGGAGTTGTAAGGCATGCTCATTTCCTGACGACGCCGAAGCGTCTTTCCAGTTCTCAGACTAAAGGGACGGCGAAAGGGACATTCAAGTGGTTTCATAAGTTCATTAAATTTTGTTACGCACTGAAAAACGAACTAATTTAAAAGTTATTGTATGATTTCAAGATCATAAACTCGAAGAAAGTTACAGCTTTGTACCATTATTGTACTATATATATAATTCAGATGTTTAAACAAACACTAAGTTGATACTGTTACTGAAAAAAAAATCAACTTAAAGAATGTTATAAAAAAAACAATCACACTAAAAGAAAAGCGTGAATAGGATGGACTTACGTAGACAGGAACTTAATTAATTTCAATTGTAAATTAATATTGTATTGAAATATAGTGAATAACGAACAAAAAACTGATACTTCAATAAAATAATAGTAGTTTATGAAACGCATTAAAATACGAATTTTTTCGTTTGTTTTAATGCCTAATTATGTACGGTTACATACACTGCTTTATCTATACACGTATTATAAGCTCTCTATTATTCTAAGCTCTCTATAATGTGTCCAGGAATTGCATTTAACGACTAGCGAAATGGCGGTAAATAAAATCACGCATGTGACACAACCGTACTTTTTATTTAATTCATAGACAAACTAGAGTCGGCCCCAACTATCATACCGTTCGATATCAAGTACCTAACGTTAAGTTAGCTAGCGAACAATTTTGACGGAATTTGCCACAATTATTTGCTATTGACATTTCGTTTCGAATAAAACTTCATCTCGACTGATATTAGAATTGAGGTCAAATCAAATTGTTTTGTTTTTCAGAGATGTTCGAAATTTGAATGTCCTAATAAAATCGAATTCGATGATATAAAGAAGCAATAAGAACATTTTCACAGATAAGAAATTAGTTCTAACAAAACAGTTTATCTTTATGCTGGTCGTTAATTGCGGTTTTTGAATACATCATAGAGGGTTTATGATACGTGTGTAGATAAAACAAATTTTTTCTACGCCGATTAAACACCCGGTCATTTTCATCGGCAGGGGCGGCACGGTGCACATGTCCAGTTGTAATTTTCTACACTTAGATATGCCTTTCCGTCCTACTACAAAGTACAAGAAGCAAGAAAAAGCATACATGTATCTGCATATATAGCAATACCAATAGCTAACACAGTTTTATTTCAAAGATTCAAAGAGGAATTTCGAAAGAATATTTTGGATCCTGCGGTCATCAACCTTTTACAATGTCAGGTGCTCAGCTGTGGACCGTAGTAAAACGATAGACACAAACGAAGGCAAAGAAATCAATAGTCCTCACTAATAATGAACTGGACACGATTAAGAGTCCAAAGTATTAATTTGTTACATCGTAAAAATCTACACATGTAAGTTCTCATTGCACTTTTTCACATTGTTTGTCTGATACCCGTATATTTCATAGTCTTCGTTATTGTTATATTATTCGATATTTACTCTGACATTAATATTTTATAATTTTATAATGTACCAAATGTTGCGAGTCGCTGACTTACCTGTATATTTTAGTTGTACCGACATTATGAAATGGGTCACATATTTGCTTCACATAATACGGGTCTCTTTTGAGAAATGTATGACGATGACCATATTTCAAATTGAATTACGACACTTTTTTTTAAAAACAAATGTCTCACACTGTTGTTTCTTTTAAGAATTCAATTATGACCCTTTTTTCTTAAAATAAATGCGTAACATTTGTTTTACACAATTTGTGCTCTCAAGAAATTTTGAACGGTGCCCGTATTTGGAAATGAATTATGACCTTTTTTTGTTGTTACAGATTCAAGATCGAAGAATGCCACTTGAGTATACGAATATTATGTGCTGTCGCTTCCGCCACATAACTTTTATCGAAATAATTGGAGAATTTGTCCTTAATTCTATTATAATAAGGGATCTTAGAAAGGATGCCCCGAAAAATGAATGTAAAATATTTTCCTTTAAGATATAATCAAAGAATTCCAATTCGAGAGCACTTCGTTACGTTGCTTTAACGCTTTTGTAATTGTAACTTCAATATTTCTTCAGAATTCAATTTTTAACAACTAAAAATATTAATGAAGAAAAGAGAAGATTGTAAATTAACAGATCTTTAAGGATGATATGTAAATGTTTGCTTGTGGTTTAGTGTACGTACATTTAATTTGACATGCTTAAAGTTTAAAAAAATACAGTATATAACACCGTAGGTCAATGATAATACCGTATAAAAATAAATAGTAGTTAAGAAAACGTTTTATTTTAATCGCTGTAGAGCTTCTTTAGACACATTTCGTCCATATGGAAGAACTTTTTTTTTCAGCTCTACTGCTATTAAAAATTACTTAGATTTATTTATCCTTCTCCAGATTGTTAATAGGTATTGTTTAAAGTGTTACGTAATTAGGGTTACGGGGTTCACTTCCTTTCTTTTCGATTCCTTTCTACTTTATCTATATTATCAGACACTTAACAATCTTGCTCATAGTCATAGAGTTGTTAAGAAATTCTAAGACTAGTATGTGTTTTTATATGAATTTATAATTATTGGCCGAATTTTTATGTTACATAATATAGATCTCTTTTCACTGCTACTGCAATATACAAAACTTACGCAAGGTGAAATGAAAAACAAAGTAGTTACATTATTTTTATTTCCACTTATAAATAGGTTATTAATAACTTACTACTATTTACATTGCCCATGAAACATACAAAACCAATTAAGACCATTGTACAGAATCGTACATATAATACATAAGATCACGTGTAAACTCCATAAATTTCAATTTTAAGTGTCATTTTGCAATACTGCACTTCTATGTTATATCTCATGTATATCCCCGTTCCGATCGGAATTTCGATCGGATGACAGGGAGAAACCCATTTATTTTACACATTACCCGATGAAAGATAGAGTTGAAAGATAACAAGTTTAAGGACGACTCGTGTACGTAATAGGTAAATTTGGTGTAAATTCGGTCATTCACGGATTCAGTATTCACTGCCTAATTTCTGTGGCAAGTTTTATAATTTTAGTATTCGAGTATTATATTATTATGAAATATTCACTGCATTTCTTTCCCTATTGCATAATTCAACAATTATTTAAGTAATATCCATTACTTTGTCTATATCTAGTGTTAATATTTTTTACGGAGGTAAAGACATGGCGACCTGAAATACAGGATCAACCTAGTTCAAGCACGTCTCTACTAAGATCGAATAGTTCCATCCGTTTATGTAGTGGAGACATGAGTACTACCAAATCCTACTGGACACTAGTGGAACCGAGAGTGGAACCAACAGTCCGAAAGGAAAGATTGTTGCCTGCAATATATTTCAAAATAACGTAATTATACAGTGTACTCTTTGTAGAGAAAATAAAGACTATTATTAATTCGGAGGTTAGGCAGCGACTACACATGATAGGAGCTCTTCTTCTAATCCACAACAGCAATGCGACCACACATCAGAGAAGCCCTCAAGACTACCAGTAAAAGACGCGAAAGTTTTGACCGCCCGATTACCGTGCTTTCACGTAGTAATGTAGGTATTACTGGCGAGTCTGAATTATATTTACTAAGCAACAACATTTAAATTCCTCGGAACAATACAACCGCGCGGTCGCAACGTTGTCGCCGCGTATACCAAACAGAAGCCAGCTCCGCCCGCGCGCCCGGGAGGCTCATTTAAGTTAAAATGTAAAAGCTAGCTAAATATAGCGTATTTTGCCATGACAGTGCCGTGCTTCTAAATACACGCGGTCTCCGCGCGGCGTGAGCGCGATGAAATTCGTGTCGAATAAATGGGCTCTAAATCTCTGTAGAGATCAAAATTTTAATGGGCACATCTTGTAAGTTTCACTTGTGTCCAAGCACAGAAGATCTAATTTTGTGTCATTATTTCTTCACTTGTTTATCTATCATGACAGAAATCAGTAATATTAATTCTACAAGTAAGATTAAACAGTAACAAGTATTAGAATTTAAAAATACGGTAACTCTGACATCGAATTCTACTCAATAAAATACTTAGAAATCTATAATTCGAACTCGAAGAAGGTCATTAATATAAAGGATAAACTAAGAAATAACAATAAGTAAAGCTTGAGTCAGAAATTGAAGTTAAATTACAGTTCTTCGAGCTCTTATACCTTTGTAAAAAGGAAAAACGTATGAGTCCACACGATGGTGTGTTCGACAAAATGTAAACACACAAGAGGTGACAGTTTTATATTTCAAATTTAAAATATGTTATTACATAACTAATAAATAAGTTCTAATACCTCCCCGCAATAGGAGCACTCTGTACGTAACGTTTATAAGCAAAATGAATGCCAGTGTTCCTGTTACATAACTAATAAGTTTTAATACGAGCAAATCACTTTTGAAGTCTTCGAACTAGTTACTAGAAAAATTTATTTGATCTTTTGTGTCTCTGGCCTAGTTACAAGAACATTTAATTAAAATGATTTGAGAACAAATTTCTTACAATTTCCTATTCAACTCTGATATGGCTGACCTTTTGATATTAATGTTTTGGTTATTTGGATAATAAAGCAATGTGGCAGGAGCCGAAGGAATGGTCTAAATATAATATTTTATATCGTATAAAATATCGTGTTTTATAAGGCTCAATTCACACTGGCGCAGAATCGAAGCGTCGCGACGTATCACGTTTTTCGCCTATAGCATATTGACCTCTATTTTTCCATTATTAAAGTATAAATTTGTGGTATGCAAATACGGAATCGCGCGTCGACGCGCAACAACACGCGCCTTCGCGCGTTGATGCTTCGTTAAAGACGAGCGGTTTCGCCGCCGCGGTTTCCTTTCACGGTTTCGCGGTTCACCGCACTGTGATCCGGGCGCGCCAATGCGAGCGTCGTCGCACGACGATGCGCGTCGACATGCGTTGTAGTTGAAAAACAGTACGCGACCCGACGCTACGCAGAGTCGTAGTCGCAGCCCAGTGTGATTTAAGCCCGAGTCAAGTTGTAATTTTTATTTTTAATAATGTTCTAGGATGTCGCACATGATACCAAATATTACAACACAAAATTATGGAATTAAGAGGACACAATTTGAAACTTCAAAAAATTATTGAATGGAAAATGGAACCAAAAAAATTCTATTTTCGTTTATGAGTATTCTCAATTCCAATTATTTTGAGTTATGACAGTATTTGGTTTCATACGCGATTGTATCGACGACATCGATACCATTGCCTTTGCCCCCATTCTGAGTAGGTAAAGGGCACAAAGGCGAAGCGTATTATCAGGGTAATATAGAGGATAACCAGGGTAATTTACCCGTTGTCTTAAAACTATGCCAGTCATATACGAACCTTCCTACGACGAGTAAAATTAGTGCTGTTAAGGTAATATTTAATATGTTTATAGGACTTATTGGAAATTCGACGCCGCTCTTGCAGACGTTACCTAGTGCCATCGTACTAATCTGAAACAAGAAACATTTTTTATTAGGTACCTAGTATGGCTCACAATGGTCCAGTACAATACAACAACGCTTTTAGGGTATTGTTTACGGTTTAACCACACTGCATTCAGGGGGCCTACCACAACCTCTTAAAACAATATTACTTTAACCTTACATTGACTTTTCGTACCATAACTTAAAACTTTTTTGTCTTGTTTTATTGGCAGCTTTGTGACTATTCATTCACTCAGGTCGTACTTGTTACATAGGCCAACCCTAAGTAAAAAGCTGAGATTGCATTAAGATATTTCAACATCGATTCCAGCACGCAGCGATATCAATATACCCGTGTAACCTAGTTTATAAAATGCATTATTAATTATATTTTATTTTTTGGCATTGTGATTCTAACATCGAACGCAAACACTTGTAATTTAGCTTAGGAATAATTCCAATTAAATATTAGTTTTTTTTAATCTTTTTGGTTTGTTTAAGTCCTCCGGCCGCAGCCTTCGTAATTGGCGCAGTCGGTACTATACTTGAATAGATTAGCGTAGGACATTTCTAACATCGATTTGTATCACCACATCGCTACCACCGCGAGCGATCGCGTCGCCGTTCGAGTATCCTGAAAAGAACCTGAGGCGAGCGGCTGGGAGAACGAAGAATCCAGACATTGATTCGCAGAGAATCAGAATGATATATATATAAGTCAAACAAGTACATTGAATTATTCTGTGTTGCTTGTCCTTTTTAATCTTTAATGTCCTTAGTTTCCTTTTAACGTAATTTTTTTTTTTCATCATTCAATTCACTACATCGAGTAGGAATTCACGAAGGCAGGCAGTAGATAACTTTAGGAATTTAGAAATACTTTTAGAAGGAGTTGAAATGGCGAATCCTCCACCAGTAGATCCTGAAACAATTTTCAAAATATTAAGACCTGTACCAGAGTTTCATGGGAACCCGAATTTAAGATTTGCGAAGAAGATTTGCGCAGCTTATCTCAGAAATCCACCGGGCAATGAGCTATCTAATCTTTGCTTAATTAACGACATATTAAATAAAATTACTGGACCAGCCGCACGAACAATAAATTCAAATGGCGTTCCAGACAGCCGGCTTGGCAGTAGAAACTCTTTAATAAATAACTTTTCGGATCAAATGGACGAAACAGCCCTTTACAATGACCTGTCTGTTGCCACGCAAGGGAATAGGTCCCCTCAAGAATTTTATGATCACTGTCAAAACTTATTTAGCACCATAATGACTTATGTATCATTGCATGAAGCAATTGCGACTACTATTGAGGTGAAGCGCACTCTGTATAGGAAATTGGCTATGCAGGCATTTAGGTACGTGGATTAAAAGAGCCCTTAGGTTCTCGCATCAGGTGTATGCGCCCCGACAGTATCGAAAAAGCTTTGGAATTTGTGCAAGAAGAGACGAACATAATGTACATGCAACAGAGAATCGACAATACGTCAGAAAGGGAATTCAACTCAAATAAAAATGTTCAATCGGCACCCCTGTTCATGCCGCCAGTACAAAAACCGTTCGCTCTACCTGCACCAATGCCTATGACTATGAATGTACCTTTTCAGCGTCCACCACTTCTTCAACAACCCTGGAAACCAAATACTTCAAATTTTCAAACGAATGGACCTCTTCAAGGTCCCTCTCGCACTCAACAGATGTTCCGCGCCATGCCACCAAACTATAACCCTCAGAGTGCAGTTTTTAAAACGCCACCTAGAAATCAACCCTTTAGTTCAAGCTCTAAGCCTATGAGTGGCGTGAGTAATTTTCAATCTAGATAATTAATGTCTAATAGTTTCCATAATGGTCATAATTCGATGAAATCAGGTAATCCACCACCCAGTAATTATTTCAAATCCCGTGAATTAAATTTGAATGAGTGTTCTGGTTATGATAATTATAATTACTACCACGAATTTTACTCTGACCCTGAAACTTACTATTATTATTCCGAGAATCCAATTTTAAAATTCAAACAAGTCCGAATTTTTAAGATTGGAGACTGCGTATCTTGGCCATGTGATCGGCAGAGACGGTATTAAACCGAACCCCGACAAAGTAGCAGCCATAATGAAGTACTCTATTCCTAAAAGTCCTAAGGAAATTAAGCAATTCCTAGGCCTAGTAGGATACTATAGAAAATTTGTCCCCGATTTTGCTCATCTCATTAAACCATTAACTCGATGTTTAAAAAAAGGAAAGGAAGTTATATTAGATAATGAATATATTAACTGTTTTAAGAAATGCAAAACTCTATTGACTAACGACCCGTTATTACAGTTTCCAGACTTCGATAGGGAATTCCTATTAACGACAGACACTTCTAATGTGGCCATAGGAGCCATACTCTCTCAAGGACCCGTAGGATCAGACAAGCCTGTGTGCTATGCCTCCAGAACTCTGAATGACAGTGAATGCAACTACAGCACTATAGAGAAAGAATTTTAGCAATTGTTTGGGCTACTAAATATTTCCGACCTTACCTATTTGGTCGCAAATTTAAGGTTCTCACAGACCACAAACCCCTACAATGGGTAATGAATCTAAAGGAGCCTAACTCCAGATTAACTCGGTGGAAGCTAAAACTTAGTGAGTATGACTTTACAGTCATTTACAAAAAAGGCAAAAACAATACAAACGTCGACGCCCTCTCCCGAGTTGAAATACATAATGAAGAAATAAGCTCTATCATAGCCAACCCTTAGAAAAACCACCATCCATTGCTAATAACTCAAGCACAGAAACAGTTCATATTAGCCTAGAGCACCCAATCCTTGAAGTTCCTATTACGGATGAGCCCTTAAATAAATTCCATAGAAAAATTGTTACGACTATTGTAGGTGACTTAAAACGCAGACCAACTGTGATAAAACCATTCGAGATCCACACGCGGACTTCCGTATAGACTTCTGAAAATAACTTGCTAGAGTATGTAGTGAAAACCATCAAAGAGTACGTAGACCCTAAAGTAAAGACTGCCTTATTGATAATTCCGCCTCTCGGAATGTATGACATCATACCAATAATTCAAATTCACTTTAAAAGTTCAGCTATGGATCTTGTGTTAGCAAACACTGAAGTCGAAAACGTCAAGGAATATTTACGACAGCAGGACATTATTAAGAACTACCATGATGGAAAAACCAATCACCGTGGTATAAATGAATGTTTCATAAGTCTTTCTAAAAGATATTTTTGGCCTAAGATGAGGGAACAGATTACTAAATTCATAAGCGAATGCACTACGTGTGGTCAGGCCAAATATGACCGAACCCCTATCAAACAAAGGTTCAACATTGTACCTCCTGGAACGAAACCATTTGAAATAGTCCATCTAGACCTATTTACCGCACAAAATGAAAAATATTTGACTATAATAGACGTTTTTTCAAAATACGCTCAAGCCTACTATCTCCGTGACGGTACAGCTCTTGGCATCATTCAAAGCTTACTGCATTTTTGTACTAACCATGGTCTTCCATTAACGTTAGTGACTGACAATGGAACGGAATTCATGAACCAATTATTTACCGAATTTACCCGGCTACATAAAATACAACATCATAGAACTTTACCTCGTTCACCCAATGACAATGGCAATATCGAAAGATTCCATTCCACTTTATTAGAGCATCAACGTTTATTAAAATTACAGCAAAAAAATGAGCCTGTAATAAAACTTATGCCATATGCCATTTTAGCTTATAACAGTTCAGTACATAGTTTTACGAAATGCCGACCGTACGACATAATTAACGGACATCTCGACCCACGAGACCCTACCGACATTGACTTGACCTAACACCTACTACAACAATATTCACAAAACCACAGAAACCAAATGAAAACCGTTTATCAAATAATAAATGAATCATCGCTAGCTGACCGTACCATCCTAATTGAAAATCGTAATAAAGACCGCGAGTCTGAGATTGAATATGAATCCCAATAGCAGGTGTTCATTAGCAACCCTTTTGCTAACCGCCAGAAGCTCGCACCCCGCTACACTCAAGATACAGTCCTAGCAAACTTACCTATTCACATTTACACGACTAAAAAACGCGGCCCTGTAGCTAAATCTCGATTAAAGAGAGTACCTAAATCGGCTAAATTGTTACAGAATCGTTCTAACCCTATCACCAATGACGGCGCAAGAGATAAGACTTGAAAGTCTGGACGACGGACCTGGACTACTCCCGTTTAGACTGGGACCGACTAGACTTGTAACACACTACCATACATTTTTACAATACATCCAACTTGACAATATTGAAGATAAAATAATGACCCAACAAAACGACCTTACAGACTTTAAGACTAGACTACCGAATGTTACCTATGTTCTATATGAATTACAGATTGAATATCTTTCCCTTAAACTTCAAAAAATCATAAGTCATTTAAGTAGCTTAGAACCTAAACACAACAGGAGAGGTCTTGTAAACGGCTTAGGTTCCATTATATTATAAGAGCATCTCAGGTAATCTCGACTATTTAGATGCTGCTAAATACGATGATACCATAAAAGCTCTCCAGAATAATCAATTAAAAATTACAGATGAATTTAACAATCATATTAGTATCAGTAAAGATTGGATGTCACTACATAGTAGTATAATATCTGAAATAGTTAATAATCAAAATAAAATTAAGTCTACATTAGAATCACTTTTGAAAGAAGATGCCTACCGAGAATCAAGTTTAATTAAATATGCCAAATTTGCTTCGCTGTTAACAATTATTACAGAAAATACTGACGATATTCTAACGGAATTACTTCAATTAGAAAATATTTTAGCTTTCACTCGTAGCTTCAGGACTCACCATTCAGTTATTAATGTGCCTACACTGGAAAAAATGATAGATAAATTAAAGTTAATTTATAGTAAAGGAAACGTATTAGACTTAGAATATCGAGAATACTATGACGTAATTAAGCCTGGTTATTATTTCATAGGTAAAAGGTTAGTTTCAACATTCAA